CGGTCTCTTTCAAGTGCCCAGGCTCTTTGTGAAAGACTGCGAGCGAAATCTACTTGCATTTCAGGTCAGTCCAAAACCAGTTCAGCCTCGAATCGTACCGGCCAAGACATGTCTTTTTAGCAGTTTGAAAGTCAATTTTGCTTTCACAGTGGCCTTGAGGAATCTTTTTAACCGATACATTCCCATACATTTCCTTTTACTATCGAGCTACAACAGAGGTCGCCCAGACACTACGAACAAATTGCCCAAACAAGGTCGAACCAATTTGCAAATTCGCATGTTTAAATCTTACGATCTAATCTACGGCTTCAGCCGTAGAATTCGATAGCAATTTATGAGAAGTCAATCATCCTGAGGTCTACTCATTTCCTTGTAGAAAAACCATTATTTCTCAGTTTACCTTTCCTTCATTTAAGAAGGGTGGATGGCCTTATTGACTGACCACATCTATTCGCGAAAGTGTGGTTTCAAGGATGCCGATACCTTCAACAGAAAAGTAATATAAAAAGCTGATGATCTCTAATATGGTCACGATCTCCCTTAATAATATTGCCTCGTTTCTGTAGTCCCGAAGTTAGCTAAACGAGTCCTCGATATATCTTCGGCTTTATATTGTGGACTTGGTACACTGGGATACAACTTCTCAAAGTGACAACAAAATCCCTGTTTTTTTTCACAGAACGTGGATGAATAGAATGTTTGAAACTTTGACCGAAAAGCCTTGTAGATGGCTTCTTGAGACTAACGGTAAAGGTAAATAAATTAAATCCACTACACACTCTTTGGCGACATTGAAGGACTTGTTACTTTGAGTTGTAATTCTGTGCTGACGATAGTGCTTCTCACGGATGATTTTAGTCACGATGCCAGCAAAACGTTGGCGAATGTACAGCCCGATGCCGGACAGAAGACGCAGGGCTAGTCATGTTCCACGAGACAGCCAACAAAGGGTCTACGCTAGAAATCATCATTGACTTAAAATCTGCGAATGTAACACGATCCACGGTCTGACGCTGAAAGAACGCTGAATCGCCAAGAGCATCGATGACTATCTGTCCCTATGCCTATACTTTTCACTGTCTGGTACAGTAAAATTTTATTGAGTGATTTAAGTAGTATTATCAAGGACTCATTTCAATTCACTTGTACAGCAGAATTTTATTGAGTGATTTAAGTAGTGTTATCAAGGACTCAATTCAATTCACTTGTGTTAGGCTTTTGTTTCAATTCGTTTCTAGCCTATCGCTTGACATTATCCTTCCCCCAACAGCATACATAAAATACGTATACACGATATGACGACATCTAAACTCCCACGATACGTGCCCCCCTCCCGTCTATGTACAATTATGGCTGTGTGTATGCGAGCGCGGGATCTAGATCTAAAGCCATAGCATAAAAAAGTCAGCTCTCATTTGACCCAAAAGTCCAAATTGTTACCTTTTCAATTAGCCCAAGGCGCTACACTACGGCTTATCAATCGCGCAAACCCACCAATCGCCCACTCAACCGTCCAGTCTTCATACTCTCCGTACACACTCAACCTCGTCTCACCCCCTCCTCTCACCTCCAGCTCGACATTCAGCCATTAAACGTCCTCCCATCTGGCGTGGGTTTTATTTCAGCCCAAGTTTGACAGGATAGGGTCACGTCAGGATTTGCACAATCGTCGTCTCCCAATTAGGCCCTGAGCTGGCGAGTCAGAAATTGGACATTCTCGTCGATCGGGTCATCTCGTCGCGCGACCTTCACAAGCTTCACCTCGAAGGTGATCCATCTCGCCTCGTCTCGGAAAGGCGGAGTAGTCACCATCTTGCTGCACCCCTCGTTTTGACTGCGAGGTTCCGTCGAGCCGAATCGAAGAGTCGCATTTGCGAAGAGGGCATTTGCGTTTCTGCACACTTTCGGCCCGTTCAGGGCCTCCGACGGAAGGTCGCATAGCGACTCAATCATGTGTTGTACTTTCTCCAACAGAATTAGCCGACAAAGTCTTCTTTCGCCCTCCACTTCACGTCCATTCAGGCCGGTGTGCTGGACTGTTTTTTTCCCGTCATGGCCACTCATCCTTTGGCGCCTTTGGGTTATATTGCCCTGACTTTTTGTTTTATTCCACCCGATTTCCGATGCTTGTTGATGTGTCCTTTCTGTCCCTTCTGACGACCCCCGACCCACCAAATCGGGCGGCCTCGTGTACCCCGGCCTTTATGGAGCCCGTCCGGCTGGGCATTGACCAGCGTCTCGACAAGTTTCCTGGCGCCCGAGCGACATGGCCAGCATGGGCGACCAGGGGCAACGTGAAACAGAGCGAACCCGAGGCGGCATGGGGCCGGGATGTGAGTGGCAAGTGAGGCGAAAAATTGGCCTACACATCCGAGTCCGGTTGAAGATCACTTTGTCCACGAATTGAGTGTTTTGTTGGCTCGTGATACCGTTCACCTCGGCCCGGGCTAATGAAGCCTGGAAGATGGACCAGGTGGATGCCCAATTGTACTTATCGTGTCACTTATTTCGTCTGAAATGGACATCGAAAAGCAAAGAGACCGAGTTCCGCCTGTTCTTGTGAGTTGTAAAGTGACCAAAATCTGCCAGGACCATTAGATCGGCCACCCGAACCATCGGATCTCGGTCCGCCTCCTATCTCGTACTCGGTGCACACATTAATCATCTGAGGCATAGTATTTAACGACTTTGTATACTTAATCGTTGGGCCAAGAGGCTGTTTACCTTTAGGCTGAAAACAGTAAACGCCCAGACAGGCATTGCCTTGGCTACTAAACGCTTGTTGTCAACTTGGACACATCGAACCAACGGACTGCCCATGCTCCAGTAGTAATGGTGAAAGTATGAATAATACTGATGACGATGATGATGATGATGTTGAGTCTGTATGCATGCTTGATTATTGGGTCTTTCCAAAGCCTCGAATTTCGGCCTACTCGGCTTATTGAGCATGAAAAAGTGACCAGGCGTATAGGCTGGTCGAATGAAGCGAAGAGTCGGATTGGTGTTTCTGCTGCATCTGATTTCGTCGGGGAGGAAAGCACGCCTCATTGACCACGTCTTGCTGACCTCATGTGCAGATGCACCCGAGCTGAAACAGCAAAAAACATGCTTTCCACCCGATTTCACGAGGCCCGATTCGGCCGATCCGATTCACCCTTCGTCTAAGCTCTGCCGGCGCAGTTTCACGTGATTTGAAATGACTCTCATCGCTACCTTGGCCCGATGAAGGTCGCCAGCAATTTCAGTTTCCATCTCCACTTGACTGGCACGTCATGTTCGGCAAAGTGATAAATTTTATGCCATTTTATATGCTGGTTCGAAGAAAAAGATCCTTAAATTGACCTGTTAGATCGTGCAGAGCTCGCGATTTATTTATTTATATATAATTTTTTAGCTAGACAACTGTAGGTTGAGCCGATACATATTTTTATATAGAAGGATAGATAGTCGTGTAACATGTAACATGGGTGGCTTACTTATCTATAGAAGAAGATCACGTCGTTGATTCCAGCTTTACTGAAACATTGGAGTTGCCCTCATCTGGTTCCTATGGAATGTACTCAACTTTCACTTGACTACTTTTTCGTTGTGACGTTTAGAGGTCGCAAAATGTGAGCCGAGAGCAATCCAACAGTCTTGATATGACTTTACGATCTAAACGAGGCAGCCAATGATTTGGTTGGAAATTTCATACTTGCCCTACATCTAGCAAATGCAAGAAACGGATGTGGATTTGGTAACAACAGTTTGATTGTTCAACATTATTGAGTTTAGACATGGTATTGTGTACGCATATTGTATGCATTGCTCTGTTCAAGTGTGAAGCCCCTGACCAGATTCTTACCACAATCCAACAGTCTCTCTGCCCAACGGTAAACCTGCTTCGGTTTCCGGCGCGGCCCATTCGCGAATCCACTTCATCCGAGTTCGCCTGATTGCGAAACGCAATTGCTCTGCCGGCTGACATTGCGGTATTTGTGAGATCACTGGCATCAAGCGCCCCCCGCCACCGTGGCCATCGGGCGCAAGAGAGAGCGCCATATGCAGGCTTATACAATCTGTCAACCAACCTGCTCCTGTATCTCTTTATCAGACAACCATCTGGCTCGAACCCTCGTGGTCATCAGCCCACATGCATCGGCCTCGCCCTATTTCTACATGGTATATCCAAACTGGCCTTGGCCGTTGCATATCGGCCGAACGAAACTTGGTTTTTAACCCAAGCCCTCGTGTTAATTGCACATGTACCCATCCCTCGAACAGGCCGAGCATGTAGCCCAACCGAAGGCCACTTTACACTAGAGCCGCGAGTTGT